AGGGGGAATCGAGATCGAGATGGAGGGGGATCGAGATCGAGTGTCCTCATGAATATTCAATATTTTATCATATTGAATATGAAAAAATATCATCAAATTTGAAAAAATATTCATGAATTCAAAAAGTGCCCATGAAATTTAAAAATATTCATGATATCAAAAAGTGCCCATGATATTTAAAAATATTCATGATATCAAAATATATACTAATGGCGCACTTCTACAGGGTGCACCATTAGTAGTTTAAACTAGTAATGGCGCATTGTGAGGCGGTGCGCCATTAGTAGTTTTGCAAAAAAAGAATAAAAAAAATTCAGTACTGGCGCACTCCATGTCTGGTGCGCCCCAGAGGTAGGATGCGCCATTAGTATGTATGTAAAAATGAAACAAAAAAATTATCACTAGTGGCGCACTAGTTTTCTGGTGCGCCATTAGTGTCTTCCACACTAATGGCGCATCACCAACTGGTGCGCCATTAGTATATAGTAGTGGCGCACTACTTCCCTGGTGCGTCATTAGTGTCAATCCTATCTATAGCCCTTTTCCTAGTAGTGGCAGTGCCCTGTATACATACAAGAAGAGGTCATCCATCGGAATTAGTTGCCAGACGCCATTGAGTATATAGGTCCTGCTCGTCCTCATTCTCGTGATCATCACCATTTTCATCTCTCCCTTGGTTATAAATTCTTTCAAGTATAGGTGGTGGAATGTTCAGAGGACCTTGGAAACACAAGAAGGTTAATTAGTAAAGGGAAACTAGCTAACCCCCATGCATGTGGATGAAACAATTATAATTACAGCGGAAGAAAAATGTACCGAAACCATAAGGATTCATGCAAAAACAGTGCCACGAGTGGTGGCAGCAAACACAAGACCCTCGTATTGAATTGCATCACAGTACTCATCCGTGTACAAAAATTGATCTTTGAGCAATATCCATCGAGGTGCGGAATTATGGACAACAACAAGCTTGTCAAAGATAGCAACAACTTCATAGTTCTTGTAATCCCAAGAGCGGTTGGGAACTCGACAAATTGCTATCTTCCGTAGACGACAGTCACCATGATCATATTTGAACGTATGTAGATCATATGTGTGCTCAACCTCAGGGAAGTCTGTGATTTTTGGAAGTGGAACCCGGTGACGAGTGTACACATTCACAAGTTCCCACTCGCAGTTATACCCAATATAAACAACCCAATCTCCATTTGCGCCTCCCCAAGCCTTACCCTCAAGTGATGGCATCTTAACATCACACGTATCATTATCAAGCGGCATCAACTTGCACAAGGAAACGCTTCCGTCGTCCCCGCACCGGCGACCAGCGTCATGGTGAAGAAGATAGGGGAGATCAAACTGCTCCTGAACCTTGGGTTCTTTGCAATGATGTTATTTGTTGAGTCGAGAATGGACTTGAATGAACCTGCCATGTTAGCCGAGGTGATGACGTCGCACCGATCAATGAGTTCCTCCACCACGTCATCTTTCATATCGGAGCTAGAATAACAGGGTCATTTACGGCATGTTCCCTCCATGGAGAAGATGATCAAACAATGATAGAAGGAAGGGTGAAGGAAAATGGAGGGAGGAAGAGCGTGCGACAGCAATTCCAAATCGAGGGGGAAAGGCGAAGAGGCGGTGGACGGTTGCCACGGTACAAGAAGAGGCTAGTGGGGAGCGAACGGTTGCCACAGAGGTCACACATTGACGACAAGGCCGAGTGAACCACATGCCTTGTATCGCACACACCTTGATCTGGCTGACCGTTTCTTTTGTGTTGCCTAATCACAAACAGTTCATCCGAGTGAAACGTATGCTGTGTATCGCACACACCTTCATCTGGCTGCCCGTTTATTTTGTTCCTCATCGCAAACAGTTAATTGAACTGAACTATATGCCTTGCATCACACACGCAACTAAAATCCAAATCGTGATTGATGCATCCGTCATCGCAAAGGTTTTGCACCTTTTTGATGGTTTTTTACACCATCGTCTGCGATTATTACATCGCACACAGTTTTGTTGAAGAGTCTCTGATCGTAGTGTCGCGTTAGCAGCATCCTGCAGTAGTGTGGGTTCCCCACACGCAGCCCAAACGCCTAGGCTGTTTGACAATCCCATATCCAACCCATATGCGGGGCAGATATTGGGAGACCGGAGGCGCCCGGATCCCGCCGCCTCGTCGGACCGACCAACTATGGCCCACGCCGGCCCCACCATTGTCCCCATAAAAACCTCAGTCAGTGTGACAAACCCTAGTCAAACCCCACTCCTCCCAGTTCTCTCAAACTCTCCGGTCCCCTCCCCTTCTTTCCCAATCTCTCCCGTCCCCTCCGCCATGGCCGAAAGCAGCTCCGACAATATCGACTAGATGATCTAACCGCTGACTCATCGAGCTCATCCGCTCCGCTTTGCTCTCCGCAGCTCGGGGATAGGCCGGGCTAGGGGCTCCTTCTCCATGATGTCTTCATTGGTAGGTTGGTCGGTTGATCTACGTATTATGCATGAGTTTGTATGGATTTGGTTGCGGATTGTGGTTGTGGAGTGAGCAAAATAAACTCTGCACGATCACCAGTGGACGCACTTGTGGGCATATATGGCACCAGATTAGGCAATCCTGGTTGTAGATGCTCTTAATATGTACAACTTGGAACTGCGTATGTAGGAGCAATGAGAGGCCTACTCGGGTGACCCCTGGCGGCCGATTTCACTATTTTGACCCTTTTTAGAAAGTTCTGCCAGATCTGACCTTGGTTCGTAAAATATTCGGGATCTGACCTTTTTTCTACCGCCATTGGCCTCGGCGGTAGGGTGGCACAACCTACCGACTGGATGTCTGGCGGTAGGACTTACCTGCGCCGTCACGACCATTTGGTGTGGAAAAGACCCTACAACCATGGTCCTTAGCAGTAGGTTGTGTTACCCTACTGCCATAGTTCTTGATGGTGGGGTCTTCACCTTGGTTTTTTACATGTATGCCTCTATAATAATTGCATGCATGTCCCTGCCGCCAAGGACCTTGGCAGTAGGATCTTTTCACACCAAACGAGCATGACGGCGAAGGTAAGCCCTACCGCCAGAGTCCTAAGCGGTAGGATGTGCTACCCTATCACGGGGGAGACTTGTATGAGATCTCACATTTAGATGAGATCAACCCCCCAAAGAATCATATTTAGACATTAAAAAAACTGAAGTTATTTGCCAACATCCGTGTGGCGTATGTTCACAACTCCGGAAAAAATTAACTCAAAATTCGATGTACACTTGGAGATTCAAAAAAAGACAAATTTGAATATGAGCAGTGACAACTTTTGGTGAATAGTACTTTGACACTATTCACATTTGATTTTGTCTTTTTTTTATTTCTATTAATATGAGTTGAATTAGGAGCTGAAACTTTTTGAGGTTGTACATTAAACACTGATGTATGTCTACAATTTTTTTGAGAATGTTTGAACGTATACATTTTTTTCAAAAAAAAAAATCAATCTCATAGATCTCGCATAAGCCTCCCTCACCCTATCGCTAAGGATAATGATATACGGAAAATGATCAGATCCCAAATTTTTTAGAAAGCATGGTTTTGAAAAAGATCAAACAGTGAATTTGGCCACCCTGGCCGCATCCACTGTGGTGGAGGACAGTCGACACGTTTCCGTCGTTTCAGCCTTGCTCCCTCCCACGCCTGCAGAAAAGCAAGCAAAGCCAGGCCTGACACGCGACTAGACTATCTTGTCTTACTTCGGAGGGCCACCCCGTCATTAAACCAGAAAAAACCCAACCCAACCCATCCCGGCCAAGGCCAACTACCAGCACCCCGAACAAGCAGCAACTGTTACATCCCTCTCCTCCACTCACCAGCACAGTAGAGCAGAGAGCTAGTCGCTCGCGCGGGCAATCCAAACCTTTCCCTATTCTTGCAAGGTCTCGGAAACGGAAAGGCCCCTGCTCCGCTGCGCGTTTGCGAGTTTGGGAAGAAGCCTTGCCTGCCGGAGGGGGGGAAACGGGCGAGATGGGGCGAGGGCGCAGCGAGATAAAGAGGATCGACAACCCCACGCAGCGCCAGTCCACCTTCTACAAGCGCAGGGACGGCCTCTTCAAGAAGGCCCGGGAGCTCGCCGTCCTCTGCGACGCCGACCTCCTCCTCCTCCTCTTCTCCGCCTCCGGCAAGCTCTACCAGTACCTCGCGCCCACCGTCCCCTCGTAAGCCAACCGCCTCACCCGCCTACCCGCTCAGTTAACCTCTCTTTAAATGTGCTGATTTGGTTGTACGCCCGCCCATGCTTTGCTCACGCATCTCTTGTTCTTTGGCAGTGTCAAGGAGTTCGTCGAGAGGTACGAGGCTTCGACGCACACCAAAGTTTGGTCCGACATCCGCCAGGTATGTGAGTACTTTGCAATGCTTCGATTCAGAGTGATGATTGACAGAGGCCCCCTTTTGCATCGAGCAGGAGAGGCGCCGCGAGCTGGAGAAGGTGGCCAAGATGTGCGACCTCTTGGAGAAGGAACTGAGGTAACCATGCATACATACATACATGGCCGGCCACAGCGCGCGTGGCTGCGCTGCGCCTGTTCTGAACTCGCCGTGTGTTAATCTGTCTCTAGGTTCATGACGGTGGACGACGGGGAGCGGTACACGGTGCCGTCGCTGGCGGCGCTGGAGCACAACCTGGAGGCGGCCATGCACAAGGTGCGCTCCGAGAAGGACCGCAAGATCGGCGGCGAGATGAGCTACCTCGAGAACATGGTGAGTGTGTGCTGTACCCCTCTTCGATCGACTCGTTTTGCGTATTTTCTACTTAGCGGCGACTCAGTGTTTTGTTTCGTGCTGCATGCAGATCAGGGGGAAACAAGCGGAGCGCTACGGTCTGTGTGACAAGGTGAGCGCTTCTATAGATTCTTTCCAAGTTCCTGCGGCGTTCATCATTAGTGTTATTATTAACCACACAGGACAAAAACAGTACCCAGTCAGAAGATTTGAAACCCTTCAATGAATCTGAAGCAATAGTAGTAGTAGTACTAGTTGAAGTAGCAACTGGTGGTGATTTATAGTTGCATGACCATCGGTGGCAGGGTTCCATGATGATGCCCCGGTTGTGCTTAGTTTTAACCTGAGCCTTTTTTTGCTAGTGTTGCTGAATTGGAGAGCCCCAAACGAAGCAAAAAGGCTTACTATTGTACTCCTTTTTAGCACTAGTAGATCCTTATGGTTGAAAAACGGGCGCCATATAGATCACACTGTTTCTAGAACAAAAGTCAAGAAATTTAATCCGTACGTACTTGTAGAGGGACTGTTCCATGGAATAGGACCTTGGTATAGATGCCTGGATATACACAGACCGTAGCAAAAATAGGCGTTTCTTTTTCCCATCTAGAAAAAATAGGATTCCATCCGAAATGAGCCTCCATCAAGAGGAGGAGGCGTGCTCGCCCTACTCATGGTAGCGCTCAGTAAATGGAGTGCTCCATTGCAAGGCACGAAGTGACACAAAGCCTACCGACCTACAACACGTAGACCCGTTCATTGCAGCTTCTTTACATTGGAGGTGGAATAACTTTTCACTCCCTGCAAGCAACGGCGTGAGGCTAAGGCCAGGCTAGCCTACGTGCACCGCAGGGTAGCCTGCCCAAGCCTATCTGAACTGGACAGCTAGCTAGTACACTCCCTCCTTAAACAAATATAAAAGCGTTTAGATCATTATTTTAGTAATCTAAACGCTTTTGTATTTCTTTACAGAGGAAGTACTATGCTTTGGCACATGTAAACTTCTTTACATTTTTTTACTTTGTTTCTTTCAAGAATGTTTATCAGTCCACGAGTTTTATGTTCATGATATTTTGTGCTTCTCACGACCAATCCAGCTACAATTTGGTTATGTTTATGTAATTTTATTATCCACAGCTCGCTCATGCTCAGAGCCTCAAGGTCGTTGAAGGTGGATCCACCTCGCTGAACAACGGCCTGGACCTCAAACTTGGTAGGTTCTCCCAGTCGATTCAGAACCTAGTTACAGTACAAGTAAGTAGGTCGCAGATCTGACGTGTGCCTTGTGCAATGTTTGCAAATGCACGCAGGATTCAACTAGGAACGGGTGAAAGCTTCTGGCCGTGGGGTTCTGCTCTAGTGTTGCTTTTGAGCTCGAGTGTTATGTCAGGTTGAAATATTCTGCAATTTCCTTCGAAGGGATTGTATGAACATGTAAGAGACCACTGTCTTATGAGATGTTTGGCTTAGGCTGGACTGGGCTGTGCGTTGTACCTCCAATAGGTGGAATGTGATACCAGTCCAGTATTGCAATAATGTAGTTAACGGTCACCTTATGCTCTAGTTCATGCGTTCTTTGTCAATGTGGACTATTCGTGTTTTTCTTGATTTCTGCCACTTATTGTGTTATGTTCTTGATTACGTCTTCATCTCTGTTGCTTATGGATTTCTATCACCTTTACCAAACATCCTATTCCCAGGCATGCTGGCCAGCTTCTTCTAATTTCTTGCCGGTCTTTATTTTGTTTGAAACTGAAGATATAAAATTGTGCAGTTGAGTCGTGGAAAAAGTGAGATCACAACAGCAGCAGAAAAAAAAATCATGAACAATAAACTGTTTTGCAACAATTCTAGTAAAAGAGAAAAGAGTCTCAAGTTGAAACAATGAAGAGAGCAACAAAAATGAGCTCAGGGATGAAAGGAGAAAAAATAATATTATTTCTTTATAAAAAGTGAAAATTACTCGCCGCTCCCTGCCCGGACCCTACCCTCCCAACCTGAGATTGTGGGGACCCCTCGGACATCCTCATCCCCTTATGTTCCCACCATCTCATTCCTATCCCCATTTACATGATCAATAATCAAATTTTCCCACACCCATCCACCACTGGGGAACGGGACTATTAGGGTCCCCACTCCCCATAAGAAAATAATCATACATATAATAAGGTTGTCCGGCGGGAGCTTGAGTCGTGCTAAGGAGGGTAGTTATATGCTCGAAGCAAGGCAATGTGTTACCTTTAGACCAAGTGCAACAGTGTTGTCCTTGTCCTCTTGCTATCGATCTTGGTCATTTTTAGGGTAAGATAGGGCAAGGGTTTTGTCGGTGTATTAAACATGGGTGTCTATACCCTGATTTATGCACACACAGTTGTAGCCTTCCTGACGGTACGGGCTTGTCGGAGGATGACCTTTATCAACACTCAAGACTTGGTAAAAACCATGAAGAAGACCTCGAGGCAGGTCATAGAGAAGTACTAAAGAAGTACTGAAGATGAAGACTCAAGTAGCCGGCAAGCAAGGCACCGACAAGGCAACGCAGCAACAAGGCCTCGAGCCGGCGAGCTCCCATCCATCGCTCCACCATGGCAGTTGACAAGAGTTTGCCAACAGGCGTCGAGCGGGCAGGAGGTTAGGTGAAGCTTGTCGACGCACGTGACGACACCGTAGCTGAAGAACAACTTTATTGACACCCATCTGAGTGGCGTGTCAATGGAATAGAAGGTAGCTGGGTGAGCGGTACAGGTGGAGATGGACAACCTTGCCGGCATTCGCGTGACACCTAACGGGGCATTTATTGCTTTTGTCCTAATCCGTCATAATTAGGTATGATAGCACTATAGCCACTATTTGCCTCTGTATTTTTTTGCCATTGTGGTAGCCTCTTTCATCTATAAAAGGAGGCCCATGGCAACCTTTAGAAGGGTCAACACCATTCCCATTTGCACTACGTAGCTGCACTTCCCGAGCATCTTGTTGGAAAGCTTGTGCTCTCTTGTAACGGGCGCATTTTCCACACATCAATTCCATCAAAGCAGGAGTAGGGTTTTACGCTTGACGGTGGCCCGAACCTGGGTAAACTTGTGTGTTTGTATTGCTGGATTTGCTCTTTGTGTACGTTGATTCCCACAACCAAGCCACAAAGGGATCTTGCCAATCCCAAAGATTGTCGTACATCGACATCCTTGGCGCGCAAGGTAGGGGATCACGTGCACGAATTTGCTCCAATAGTCTAGGCGCTACCTTCATCATCCATGGCGCCCAAGAAGAAGGGCGCGACCGCTGCTACACCATCTACATCCAAGTTGCCATCCCAGACACCGGCGGCTGATGGATGTGGAGGCGGCCAACTTCCTCGTCGCTCCGATGATCCTAGCCATCACACTAGTGCGAGCCAAGATCCCGTAGTCGCTACATGCAAGGGTGGTGCTACGACGTCCAAGAATGACGCGGCGAAGCACGTGCCTGAGCCACCGAAAGATGGGCGCGACACACTTTCTCAAGACATCAGCGGCTCCGAGCGACGTCAAGATAAGAACCCTGAGTATCGTTCCCAAGATGCTCACGGGCAGCCACCATGCCAACCTGCTGGCAAAAGTCGACAGCGGCAGCACGAGCGAGATGGAGCTCCTTCTAGCTCTGTCGGGAGTCCAGGCGTCTCTTGTTCCTCGCACCCAGTCATGCCAAATACGCCGGCAGAGGCCATGGCACAAGCTCAGTTGCTGCTGAACTTTCCTCATGCGACGAAGAAGATGGATGAGTGGAGGGCCACCATCCAGAGCCTCATCAGCTTCGCCAACAGTGACGAACCACAGCAGGCGGGACCTTCACAGCGGCAATCTACAATGCCGGCAAGGCCGTCCTGCGAGCGTGGGAGACGCTGCACCAACAGTGCAGTCTCCTCCTCAACATCAGCAGCAAGTGAGGCGTACTGACGCGCAGGACGAGGTGTCCATGGGGTCGTCTAATTCATGTAGCCGCCAAGATCAACTCCGAGTACTGCAAGATCGGCAACTAGAAGACGCGCGCATGACCATCGAGCGGCACCGAGAAGCACGCTGTCAGTCAGATGACCGTGCAGGGCCGGCAGCGAACATGCCTACGCCGGGGTCCTTGGGTGCTTTCCATATGATGTAGACTGCCCAACGTTCACCCCTGAGTCACGGCAAGTTCGCTGGCCCTCTTCTCAAAGCTTCAAGACGGAATTGTCGGATAAGTATGACGACAAGCTCAACCCATCCAAGTTCCTCGGCATCTACACCATCACTATGCAGGCTGCTGGAGGAAGAAATGAGAAGGTTCTTGCCAACTACTTCACATTGGCGCTTAATCCCAATGTGAGGTCTTGGCTGATGAACTTGCCGGAGGGCTCCATCTCCTCCTGGGCAGATTTATGCCATCAGTTTGTGGGTGCTTACCATGGAGGCCATAAGCTTCCTGGTCAGCCCAACGATTTCCATGTGCTTCCCTAGAGGGATGGTGAGCCCCTTCAAAAGTATATAGAGAGGTTTAGTCGCATGCATCATAACATACCTGATGTTCACCCCGCTGTTGTCATTGCCGTGTTCCACATTGACGTGTGCAATCGGAGGATGCGAGAGGAGATGAGCATCAAGAAAGTGAAAGATATTGCCGAGCTATACGCTCTAGCCGACAAGTGTGCACGCACTGAGGAAGGGAGGTGACTCCCCGGAGTGGATGCAGGAGCTTCTGTTGACTCAGAAGATGATGACGCATCCACTCCAAAGAAAAAGGGCTGGAAGTACAATCACAAGCTCAAGGGAAAAGCAATTTTGGCTGTCAAAGGATCAGGAAATGCCGGCAAGAAGCCCAAGATCGAAGATGCCGGCAAGGAGGTTGTCGCGGTCATGTGGCAGCTTCCGGTGAGAAGACCGACGGTCCATATTGCAAGATTCACCGTATTGCAGGCCATGATCTCCAGGAGTGCCTGTTGGGGAACGTAGTAATTTCAAAAAACTTCCTACGCACACGCAAGATCATGGTGATTGATAACCCACAAGTATAGGGGATCTATCGTAGTCCTTTGGATAAGTAAGAGTGTCGAACCCAATGAGGAGCAGAAGGAAATGATAAGCGGTTTCCAGCAAGGTATTCTCTGCAAGTACTGAAATAAGTGGTAACAGATAGTTTTGTGATAAGATAATTTGTAACAAGCAACAAGTAACAAAAGTAAATAAAGTGCAGCAAGGTGTCCCAATCCTTTTGTAGCAAAGGACAAGCCTGGACAAACTCTTATATGATGTAAAGCGCTCCCGAGGACACATGGGAATATCGTCAAGCTAGTTTTCATCATGTTCATATGATTCGCGTTCGGTACTTTGATAATTTGGTATGTGGGTGGACCGGTGCTTGGGTGCTGCCCTTACTTGGACAAGCATCCCACTTATGATTAACCTCTATTGCAAGCATCCGCAACTACAACAAAAGTATTAAGGTAAACCTAACCATAGCATGAAACATATGGATCTAAATCAGCCCCTTACGAAGCAACGCATAAACTAGGGTTTAAGCTTCTGTCACTCTAGCAACCCATCATCTACTTATTACTTCCCAATGCCTTCCTCTAGGCCCAAATAATGATGAAGTGTCATGTAGTTGACGTTCACATAACACTACTAGAGGAGAGACAACATACATCTCATCAAAATATCGAACGAATACCAAATTCACATGACTACTAATAGCAAGACTTCTCCCATGTCCTCAGGAACAAAAGTAACTACTCACAAAGCATAAACATGTTCATAATCAGAGGGCTATTAATATGCATATAGGATCTGAACATATGATCTTCCACCAATTAAACCAACTAGCATCAACTACAAGGAGTAATTAACACTACTAGCACCAATCCCGGACTTGGAGACAAGAATTGGATAGAAGAGATGAACTAGGGTTTTGAGATGAGATGGTGCTGATGAAGATGTTGATGGAGATTGCCCTCTCCCGATCAGAGGAGCGTTGGTGATGACGATGGCGATGATTTCCCCCTCCGGGAGGGAAGTTTCCCCGGCAGAACAGCTCCGCCAGAGCCCTAGATTGGTTCCGCCAAGGTTCCTCCTCGTGGCGGCGGAGTTTCGTCCGAGAAGATGGCTTATGATTTTTTTCCCATCGAGAGACTCCATATAGCAGAAGACGGCCACCGGAGGGCCACCAGGGGGCCCACGAGGTAGGGGGCGCGCCCCCCACCCTCGTGGGCAGGGTGTGGCCCCCCTGGTGAAGTTCTTGCTCTAAGTTTTTTTTATATTTGGAAA